AGAGCAAGCATAAGAACCTGAACTGCAGTCACTCAATCTCTACAAGTACACACACACATACACACACACACACACACACACACACACACACACACACACACACACACACACACCAAGCGCTGGAAGTGACCTGTATGGCTGTGGTGGCACACTCCGGAGGCAGGGGCAGTCAGACCTCTAAGTTCAAGGCCAGTCAGGTCTACAGAGTGAGTTCCAGGACAGCCAGAGAAACCCTGTCTTGAAAAACAAAACAAAACAAGCTGGGAGTGGTAGTGTGTGCTTATAATTCCACCACAAGGGGTGGGGGTGGGGGAATAGACAGGTGGTCCCTCCTGCTTATTGTCAACCTAGCCTACTTAGTGTTCCAGGCCAGTGATTGGTGCCTGAAGAGTACCTAAGCATGCCTCTCTCAGGAAGTACATGTGTCATGCATGTGACACACAAATCTGTGACAAGACACTGAAAACATCACCTACACAGAGCACTGCTAAACATCTCATCAAATCTAAAAGCTTTCCCTATAGAACAGACACAAGATGAAAAGATAAAGCTAAAAAAAATTACCAAATAAGTTATGTATTAAACCGGGCTTGCATTCAGAACAAAAGTCTCTCAAGTTCAACCCTAAGAATATATGCAACTTAAAAGTAGCTAAAACATAGGCTAATTTAAGCCATGGCAAGATAGGACATGTTGGTTAGTGGCTGTACTGAAAACACTGAGGCCCAAATGCTGCCGAGACTGTGGGGCAAGGAGAGCACAGCTTCCAGTGGCACTTCACTGGGAACACAGCCAGATTTAAAGTAAATTCTCCAAACCAGGGGGAGTGGCATAACCTGTAGCCCCAGCTATTCTGGAGGCTGAGGGAGAGGAGCTATTGAGTCTGAGATTAGACTGGGCAACATAGGCCTACCTCAATAAGCAAAAAAATGAGATGGAATACATTTTCTATGGGGCATGGTATTCTAATCTCAGCACTAGGGAGTCTAAGGCAGGAGGATTATGAGTATGAGACCAAAATGGACTACACAGCAAGATCCTGCCATATCAAAAAAAAATGTATTTAGAGTCTGGAGATGCACCTCAGGGAAGTGCTCACTGCACAGGCCCTTACTCAACATCCCAGCACCCAGCCAACAGAGGCAGGGGGATCTTTGTGAGTTTGAAGCCAGCCTGGTTTAGAGTGAGTTCCACGACAGCCAGGGCTGCAAGGTAAGACCCTGTCCCCCAAATAGAAGATAGATAGATAGATAGATAGATAGATAGATAGATAGATAGATAGATAGATAGATAGAAAGAATCCCAGCACTGTAGAGACCCGGCGCTGTGCTACAATCCTGGCATTTGAGAGGTGTCTCCAAAGTCAAACCGGCCACATGGACTTAGTACACGGCCTGGCAGCTCCAGTCCTACGGAAAACATTTGAGAAACGCAGCTTGCCTCATGACAATCTCAAAACACAGATGTCATCCTGCAAAAAACCTGAAAACCACCCAAGTACGTTCCCACAGGTAAGCAAACTGACACATTCACACAGTGGGGCACTAGCCTGGGAAGGAAACACATTGGACAGATTTGTTCTTGGGTTTTTTTTTTTTTTTTTGAAGTCTCATTATATAGCCCTGGCTGGTCTGAACTTGCAGCCTAGACTTGAACTCACAGAAATCCAGCTGTGTCTGCCTCCCAAGTGCGAGGATTAAAGGTATGTGCCATCATTCTCTGATACACAATGTTTCTGAGTGTGCTCAACAGTTTTATGTCAATATGATACTAGCAAAAGTCACCAGTAAGCAACAACCCCTCAAGGCCTCTGCATCTGCTCCAGCCTCCAGTTTCCTGCCGAGTTCTCGTCCTGACTGTCTTTGATGATGATCAGTGATTTGGAAGTGTAAGCTGAAACAGAGCCGAGCAGGTTGCTTTGGTCATGGTGTTTCATCACAGCATTGGTAACTTCAAGACAGGACACACTGAGGCCTTCACGGTGATGGCCAAGCCAGAGGTGGTTGATAGAGACACGTATCTATATCATGTTTACCATGGCGCTTACACAGAACTGCCCATGGCTTAAACTTTTCATCACTTCACCAAGAAGAAAATCTGATTAATGATGTTTAAAGATTCTCCTGACTATTTTAGTTATAAAGGTAGCAGACCAAGTAGTGGTGGTTCATCCAAGTGACAGGACTCATGACTTGAAGTGCTAGAAAAGACTGATGATTCACATGTAATAAAAAGAAAAAAGAAAAGAAAAACCATCAGGAAGGAGGCCAGTCCATGCCTGCAATCTCAGCACTCAGGATCTCCACAGTCCGAAGTCATCCTGCTCCATCTACAGTTTCAGGCCAGCTATGGCCACACGATGAGGGGAGGGGGGAGGGCAAGCAAGCAAAGAAAGAAAATGAGGGCATGGGCTATAAAGCGCCCACTTTGAATAGTTAAGATTACTAGTGTTATGAAGATATATAATTGAACACAGAGGGCAAAGGGGGCTCACACTGTTCCCCTGGGGCTGGAGAGACAGCTCAGCTATGAAGAGCACTTCTTGCCACTGAAAAGGACAGATTCTGGTTCCCAGCCCCCGTATCAGGTGGGACCATCTTCCAGGAATCCCACTCCTCTTCTGGCCTCTCCAGGCAGCTGCACACAGACGTGCATGCACATACACAAAAGGATAAACGCTCTAGAGGCTGAGGAGAAAGACACTAACAGCATGTGTTGCTCTCTCAGAGGACACAAGTTCAGTTCCCAGCAACCATGCATGCACTCACACATACAACTGGGTGTGCTGGTGCTCAGGTGGCAGAGGCAGGTGGATCTCTGTGAGTTCAAGGCCAGCCTGGTCTACACAGTGAATTATAGGACAGCTAGGGGTACATGGAGTGATCCTATCGCAGAAAAAAGTCAAAATCAATTCCTTGGCAGATTATGCAATAGTGTGGCCACGTACAAAGAGCCTGGTACTTTTTTCATTTTCTTTTTTTTCATTTTTTCTGGGGTTTGTTTGCATCTTTGTTTAAGGCAGGTTTTAAATGTAGCCAACACTGGCCTTGAACTTTCAATCCTTCTAGCTCTGTGCTGAGATTACAGAAACCATAACTGGCTATTTGACAGTTTCTAAAGAGCTGAATATACAACCTACTAGTTAAACTAGACTTGCAAGAAATGAAAATGTGGGCGGGGGAGATGGCTCGTGGGTAAGAGCACCGACTGCTCTTCCAGAGGTCCTGAGTTCAACTCTCAGCAACCACATGGTGGCTCACAAGCATCTGTAACGGGATCTGATGCCCTCTTCTGGTGTGTCTGAAGACAGCAACAGTGTACTCATATAAATAAATAAATAAATCTTAAAAAAAAAAAAAAAAGAAAAAGGAAGAAAGAAATGAAAATGTGTCCACACAAACATAGAAGCAAATCTTCCCAGCAGCATTTTATAGTGGTCAGGAAGTAGAAACAGTTCAAATGTCTAACTGAAATCAACCAATAAATGCTTTCTGTGTACACAAGAAAACATCATCTAGGCATCAAATTTCCTACCAGGCTGCGGAGATGGCTCAGGGGTTAAAGCCCTTGCTGCACAAGCATAAACCAAAGCTCTCATCTCCAGCATCCATGTGCTTGTCAGACAAGTATGGTGCTCTGCCTGCAACACCAGAATGCAAGAAGTGGGGTTGGGGGTGAGAAAGGGGGTGATTGCGGACTCTAACCAACTTCAGAATTTCACATGGGTTCCCACGTATGTATACACATGCACACCACACACAGACAAAAATACTAACAAGTTGGGCAGTGGTGGCTCATACCTTTAGCACTTGGGAGGCAGAGGCAGGCAGATCTCTGTGAGTTCAAGACCAGTCTGGTCTAGAGAGCCCAGGACAGCCAGGGCTACCCAAAGAAACCCTATCTAGCAAAACAGAAAAATTTCTAGCCTGCTCTAACACAGATGAATCTTGAAAACATCATGCCAAAAGGCATTATGATTCTATTTAAAAACTCCCAAATGTGGTGCACGCGTTAACAGGAGGTAGTGTTGAGGTTAGAGGGGGCTTTCGAGGTGTTATGTGTAGCAGGTCCCTCCTTGGCAGGCGATACACATACCTGCTTGTGAGCTGTCTCCAGTTTGGCAGTCTCTCTCTTCCCTACAGCTTATTAAGGAAGAGGACCATTCAACATGTCTCACTGGACAGCAATCTGATATACAAGGCATTGCTCTGAAGATCCGCCCCACCCGCAGGGAATCAATAGGCAGAGTGCTGACCATCTCAGCCCTACTGAGTTAGTCCTTCTTGGCTTCGGAGAGGTTCAGATTCTGTCTGTCACAACTCCTTTCCTCATGCTGCTCTATGGATTCTGTTCGTTTTGTTTTGGTCTCTTGAAAAAGGATCTCATTGTGTAGTACTGATTGGCCTTGAACGGATTTATTTCCACCTGCCTCTGCCTATTCAGTACGGGGACTAAGTGTGTGTGCCAGCACGCCCAGCCCTCTGTCGATACCTCTCTACTCTTCCCATTCCACAGTTCCAGCTCCTATGTGCTGGATGCACACACAGCAGGGATGGAACCCAAGGCCTTGAGCATGATAAGAGTGTTCTACCACTGTACTACACCCTCGGCCCCTCCATTTCCTTTTAAAGGAAAGAAAACACCTTAAATGTAACAGTCCACCACTTTGGGGCTGGAAATACAGCTGAGTTGGTAGAGAGCTTGCAGGAGGCCTGGAGTCCAATCCCCAGCAATACATTACCCAGGCACAGGGGTATACATTCCACCCCAACCTCACACTAAAGAGCAAACCAGTCCAGGACCCTGAGACAAAGGCTGTACATTGGCCAGGCCAAGGTCAGCCCTTCACTTCTACCCAGGCAGACTCACAGTGAAGTGGTCACTGGGCTTGAAGAATATAAGGAATAGGGGTGGCCAATATGAGTAACGCAGAAATGATGACCAGAGGGTCATCACTACCTCGATTAGACACAGCAGGAGCCTGATGAACACCACTCAGCAGAGACATCTGAATAGTTTAATCACTTCTCCATACAGGACACCTGGCAGGGCTGTGCAGACCAGGCAGGCCCGTCTCCAGTGAGTGCCTATGTCTCAGAGAGCTTCTCTCCTGGGCTACACTCTGCAGGTGCCTTCTCCCGTGCAGCCCCTACCTCTTTTCCAAAGGCCAGGGTGGGGAAGGCCAGTCACTCTCGCTCCTGGTGAAGCTCTGGAGGCAGCTCTGGAGGCTCTCTTTTGGGAGGCACTTTCTGAGCACCTCACCCGAGGGTCTCTCCCTTCCCCAGACAGAAAAGTCAGCAAGAGCTTTTCTACTGGAAAACTGAGGAGATCCCCAGCTGGTTCCACCAAGACCCTGAACTCAGTGGACCCAACTCAGTTTATCAGTTAAGAACCAACTGGAGGCTCCTTCCTGCCTTTCTGTGTGATGGTGATTGGCTTGAGGCTGAGGCCCTCCGCAGCATTCACACCAAGCCTGCCCACCCTTGTGTGGCAGGGCCCTGGCTGGCCTAACGTGGCAGCTCTCCACTGAGCTGCTATTCTTAGTAGGGGTGGCTAGAGTCCCGTTAGGTCCACAATAGCTTTGATGAAGATAGCATCATCCCGCACATAGGAATTCTTGGCCTCCATCTTGGACACAGGGCAGAAGAGGGGGCAGCCACTGGCAATATTCATGTCACTGACAGGCCTCTGGAAGGACGACGAGGTCACATCAGGCCTGAATGCATCGATCACATGCTCCCGGTTGTTATGGTCCAGCAACATCAATGTTACCTGAGATAAGTCAATCCAGGGAGGGCACAATGTGTTCATGAGTCACCCAAAAACACCCACATTAATCCCATCCTGCCTCTCCCACAGCAGTGTGACTGGATACACTGGCCAGTTTACTCAGCTTCTCATCCAGAAACTACACATGTCCATGTTGGTACTGCATGCTCACAGTACCTGGAAACTGAGGCTAAAGCTTAGTGCTACAGACAAGACACAGTATTCCCATGCGCTGTTTCTTTGTAGTGCTTGTCTACTTTTTTTTTTTTTTTTTGCTCAGATCCTGAAGCTTGCCCAGGAAGTACTTCACAAGAACGGGGGTCTGACCAGAGACTAGCCAGGATCTCTGGGCCTGCTAGTCCCCATCACTCGTTCTGCCCCCTACTGGCTTCTGAGGAGAGAGCTGGGCCCTGAGTGGTGAAGGGAAGAGACCATGCTCAGTATAGTCTGCTCTCTGGAGTTTCAATTCCTTAACCAAGGAAGTCCCTGGTTTTGAATACTGACAGAGGGGGCTCTGGCTGTGGCCTTCCCTTGAAGCATACTTCCCCAGGAGACATTTAAACATGTGTGGGCCATGAAGCCAATCAGGTGTCATAATCAGCACTGAGAATCACTGCAGAATCACAGCCCAATATGCATGGGTACATACACTGTCTTGGACAACCTGGCCACTTGGAAGCTGTACCCAACGCCACCCACAGATCCCCCTAGAATCCTGGGGCTGCCTTTTATACCTTCTGATTAAAAGGCCACTGCAAGAGAGCGTCATTGGGGCCTTTCATCACCACGAAGAAGAGAGACAGATGAGTTCCCCGTCCAGTGCCATCACCATTCAAGTAGACCCGTAGACACATCTTGTAGCCGTATCTGCTTGTGTAGAAGGCTGGAGGTATGGAGATGTGTCAGTGAGGACAGGGCAGGACATAGCTCCTCCACTCACAGCCCACCCTCAGAAAGATGAAAACATAAACAATCACTCAGCTTTGGCAAAGTATCAAGAAAAGGTTTTCCTCCCAAAGGAAAGCCCCCTTCCACCCAGAGCCTCTTGCCATGCACCTCAGGAAGGCCTCCAATCTCACTTCTTCAGGAAAAGTCATTAGTGTGTGCACTTGTGTGCAATCCTATGGGGTGGACACTGGCAGGGTGAGTGTAGAAGCCAAAGGTCAACTCTATGAGCCACTTCTCTCCTCCCAGATTTTTGTTTTGGTTTTTGAGATGGGGGTCTTTGGCCTCTGCCTTGCTGGTGCACTGCTGCCTGCTCTCTCCTACTGTCTTCAATGTGGGTTCCAGAGATTGAGCTTACAAATCCGGTCAGGCATCTTGCTGTGTCCCCCTTTAAACTAATAGCTGACTGATAATCTCAATAACCTCAAAGTGACAAGGTAAAAAACTACGCTGGCAACAACCCAGTAGCTGTGGTCCCCAAGAAAGCTCTGAAGGGAGACTGGGCCGCAGGAACCCTGCCTCAGCAGAAGCATCCGAGGAGCAGACACTCAGAACAGCACAGTCAACATTCCTCAGGTCCTACAGCAGTAGTTTTCAACCTGTGGGTTGTGACCCCTTAGGAGGGCACACATCAGATATGTACATTACAATTCATAACAGTAGTGACATTAGTTATGAAGTAGCAGCACAAGAATTGCTTGGTTGGGGGTCATCACAACATGAGGAACTGAACTGAGGGGCTGTAGCACTGGAAAGGCTGAGAGCCACTGTTTTACAGGTAACGACCAATAACCAGAACATGGTTAAGACTGCACAAGACAAGAACTGGCCGTGGTAACACAAGCTTCCCAACATGAGTTCAAGTTCAGCCTGGGTTAGATAATGAACTGAGTCCACCTTGGGCTATAGTGTGAAACCCAGTCTCAAAAAATAACATGATCTACTGTTAAGTACAAACAAAACATGGAAAAGTTGCATGTGAGGCTGACTGGGTCAAGGAATACCAAAGGCTGGAACAGCACTATCACTGAGCACCTTGATGGCACGTTCTAAGCCACTGTAGATGGGTGGCGGACCTCGTGGGAGCAGCACTCTTTGTACAGGTGCTTCCAATGAAACTCACAGCACAAATAACAGAAGAAAATCAAACTGCTCTCCTTGCCCTGGGGTAGGACCTGTCTATGAAGTTAGACAGCAAGCTTTTCTGTATTTGGACTCCAGGATTTATATCAGCAGCTCCACATAAAGTCGGCCTATTGTGGAGCTCACCCTCAGTACTCACATGTACCAGCCCTTAACACCCTTAGGCACCGGCCACTGCACGTGCGTAGAGTAGGTCTGCAGTCTTCCACCCCAAGCCCATTTGTTAAACCTCTGATACTGACTGCAGATGGTGGGACTTTCTCATGTGGGAACTAAGAAGAGGTTTCAGTCACGGAGGGAGGGTGTGACTGAAGAAGACAGTGGGCTCTCCATTCGTCGCAGCCCTCTTTTGCTTCCTAGCTGGGAAGTGAACAGCTCTGTGCCACAGGCTGTTTGTCATGATGTGCAGTCCTAAGTGAAAAGCAGAGTAGCCAGTCCTGAACAGAACTTGTAGAGCCGTGCTAAGTGTGTCCTCTTAGTGGAGAACCCAATAGGATAGTACTCAGCTGCTCTCCCGGCAGCTCTCAGCCAAGCAGCAGGACTAACCCATGCTCCCACTCATGGACTAAGCAAGCTAAGCCTCTGCAGCAGGTCTGCAGACACAGTGTTAAAACTGCCTTCCTGGGCTGTAGAGATGGTTCACAGGTTAAGAGCACTACTGACTGCTCTTCCAGAGGTCCTGAGTTCAATTCCCAGCAACCACATGGTGGCTCACAACCATCTGTAATGGGATCCGATGCCCTCTTCTAGTGTGTCTGAAGACAGTTGCAGTGTACTCATATAGATAAAAAATAAATCTTTAAAAAGAAACATCTGCCTTCCTGTTCCTTGTACCTTTGCCTACTACACGAACCTGACTCATCAACAATATTAAAGCAGACCTTCTACATAAACCAGCTTTTGCCTGGTTATGGGCCCCAGGAGACTGCTGCACGGGACTTGGGCTCCTGATGCTGGGCCCTTACTAGACTCACTGTGGAACTCCATTAATCTGGGCCTGCACTACCTACAAGTTAACATCTACTAAACCACCTACAGTGGGGGGGGGGGGGGGATGCCAATGGACTACCCAACTCTAGAAACCATATCCAGCACCAGGCTGCCCAAGCGGGCCTTGAGTTCCCACCTAAGACACTGGCTTTCCTAGTCTCCAAGTCTGTTTACTGCTAACCCTCGCTAAAGCCACTGTGAAGACTCACTACAGAGATGAAGAGAGTGCTCTGTCTTCCCAGGCAAGGGCAGGGACCACTAGAGTCAAGGTAAGTCCAGTAAGGAGAGGGTCTCCCAAGGGCTCAGCCTAGAACCTCTACTGTTGAGAAAGTTTTGTAAAGTAAGCCTAGAAAGAAATGAAGTGCAGGTGATGAGTAAGGAAGTAAAGTACTGAGCAGGAAGAGACTAACAAGGGAGAAAGACAAGGCTGGGCACTCACACCATCTGTGGCACCTCAGAGGTACTCTGAAGTAGACAGAAAGGCAGCCACAGTGGTACAGTTAAGAAGTGCAAAGCAGGGAGCACAAGGGAAGCCATCGTACCCTGAAATGACACTCACAACCTCTAGCACCTAGCAGCCCCTTTCAGAGGCGCTCCAGAGCGCCCCTCAAGAGACCTTGCAGGTAGAGATGAAGGAGAGTGAGGAACATTTTCACAGGACTCCTGCTTACAGTAAACCAATGCTCAATCCAATTGGGCAGGAGTCAGACAAGCTTGAAGCTATGACCCTGTTTGCAAAAGTCTGTTTTCCATTATCCACTCCAAAGCCACCATGCTCAAGTGCAGGTGACAAGGAGCATACACTGTGCACATCTAACCTGGCACCCGGTAGCTCCTCATGCCTAATCCCAGTAAGAGTTAGATGCAGACATTTGTGGTGCCAGTTGAGCATGAGCCCCGCCTCATTCTGGGACCTCTGACAGAGACAGGAGGATCACGAACACACGGTACCTGGGGAGAAGATAGCAGGTGTCCGGCCTGCTACAGCTTCCTGACGCTTTCTGGCGAAGTCGGAGATCTTCCAGATGAAGACCCCATCGTAGGTGGACACCTCCAACTCTGAGACCTTCTGCTCCAGGTCAGCCATGGCCAGGTCCTTGAGGCCAATGGTCCTCTCCAGCTGCTGCACCTGCAGAGCAGAAACCACTTACTCTCACCATCACATGCTGTGGGCCCTGAAACCCCACCTCCCCCACTGGAGTCTTTTCTGTCCCCAGTGTTAGGACCACGTTCCAAGGTCACATGGAAGGCTCCGGACGAACATGTACCCAGGCACTTCCCAGCCCCAGCAAGTGCCATGACTGAGGGTGTACCCTCCTAGGCCAAAAGAGCTTTCAGTCGTTAGCCCATCAAACGCTCTGACTGAGCCTCACAGAGCATGAGAATCAGAAAGCAGATGGCTAAAGCCCAAGTCATGCAGTGTAGATGGGTTCGACACTGTCCAGGCTCCAAAGATCAGGACTTAGTATTCCAGCTAAGTACAAACCTTGGTTTTTGTTTTTTTTTTTTTTTAGATTTTTTTTATTTTTATTTTTTATTTTTTTAGATTTTTTTTGAGACAAGGTTTCTCTGTGTAGCCTTGGTTGTCCTGGAACTCACTCTGTAGACCAGGCTGGCCTCAAACTCAGAAATCCGCCTGCCTCTGCCTCCCAAGTGCTGGGAGTAAAGGTGTGCGCCACCACTACCCCACAGTACAAACCTTGTTACTCAGGGCCTCGATCTTGTCCTGGTCTAGCCGGTGCTGCCGGCTACAAGCCTCTGCAGTCACTGCTACCCTTTCTACCTCCCGGTTCAAGACGCAGACAATGTTCTCAAAGGTGGCTATCTTCTGCTCCAAAATCTGGCACCGCTGTAGCAGCTCTGGCCCCACCTGGTTCTGGGCTCCTTGTGAGGCTTGGGACTCCAGGAATGAGCTCAGCAATAGGGCCAGGTGTTCCCGTAACCGCTGCAGCTCATGGTCCTGCAGGTTCTCAGTCTCCACCTGTGGGACAGAACAGGCAGCTCTTGGCATGGTGTTTGTAGACCCGGCCTAGACAGTGCAGTACCATGGGCCATACTGAAGGACAGAGGTCCATTAGGACTTGTGGTTGTTCCCTCAGGATGTGAGCACTCAGCTACTGCTCCAATAGCATGCCTGCCTGCCTGCCTGCTCCCATGCTGCCCAAAATGATGGTCACAGATTCTAACTTTCTGAATCTGTTAAATCCCAAACAGCTTCTGACTTGTATAAGTTCCCTTGGCCATGGAATCTTTACACAGCAACAGAAAAGTAATTAAGACACAACTAAGTACTTTTTTTTTTTTTTGGCTGTCCTGGAACTCACTCAGTAGACCAGGCTGGCCTCAGAAATCCATCTGCCTCTGTCTCCCAAGTGCTGGGATTAAAGGTGAGTCACCACCACCTGAGCATATTCAAACTTGTGTAAAAATTTTAAGCTATTACACTTCAAAATTACTATAACACCATTAGACTCTTAATTATGCTAATTAAGAAAGATAAACAGGTACAATGGCAAATGCTTTTAATCCTAGTACTTAGAAGGCAGAGACAGATGAGTTTCTATGAGTGCAACGCCAGCTTGGGCTACATAGTGAGAATTTGTCAATTAAAAACCAAACCCAACCTGGGCTGGAGAGATGGCTCAGCAGTTAAGAGCACTGACTGAGCCGGGCGGTGGTGGCGCACGCCTTTAATCCCAGCACTTGGGAGGCAGAGGCAGGTGGATTTCTGAGTTTGAGGCCAGCCTGGTTTACAGAGTGAGTTCCAGGACAGCCAGGGCTACACAGAGAAACCCTGTCTCGAAAAACCAAAAAAAAAAAAAAAAAGAGCACTGACTGCTCTTCCAGAGGTCCTGAGTTCAATTCCCAGAAACTACATGGCGGCTCACAACCATCTATAGTGGGATCTGATGCCCTTTTCTGGTGTGTCTGAAGACAGTGACAATGCACTCACATATATAAAACAAGTAAATAAATATTAAAAAAAAATTAAAAAATAAAACAAACCCAACCTAAAACAAAACTAGGGCTGGTGAGCTGGCTTAGCATGTAACTGTGCTGTCTCCAAGCCTGATAACTTGAGTTTAGTTCCCGGAACCAATATGCTGGAAGGACAGAACCAAGTCTAAAAGCTGTCTGCTGGTTTCATGTGTATGCTGCCATGGCTTACATATACACACCCAAAAATGTAACAAAAAATTAAAAACATAACAAACTAATTTTACAAAGACATACTCAAAATGTAAGCAAAAAAAAGCAAGACATCTGTGTTCCCAGTTGGAGGCACAGCCACCCAGACAATAGGAGGCGTAAGAGGCTGCACTGCATCTCCCAGGACAGGAGCTAGTTGGCTTAGTGGCTTCCCCAGCAGGGGTCAGCAAGGTTCCCACAAACAACGTCAGAGATTAAACGGAGCTCCCCATGAACTGAACTGAAGCCGCACAGATCCTAGGATCAAGGTGACAGCAGCTCAGTTTCCTGGTAGCTTCTAATCTACTTTCTGCAGGGAACTCAGCTGCCTTGGAACGGAGGTTGTAACTGTCCCCACTACTCAATACAAGAGAGCAGAGATATCCCTGTCCCAGACACTGTGTCCTCAGTTTGCCTCCTCCTCTTCCCTGAATGCTCACATCCTATAGGCCCTATATGGACCAGCACGTGTTCACGTGTCATGACGGGACGTGGGGGCTCCCACTGTATAGAGAAAGAGGGACAACACAGAAGTAGCCTGTGACAGGGTGAAAATGAGGGGGCAAGACAGGCTAACACAAAAAGCCTGTGTCCAGGCAGGAGATGATGAGGTGGCAGGACAGCAGATGGAGGGACAGGATCCATCTGCCAACAGCCAAGGATTTGTCAGCATGCGTGCGAAATATGAGACAAGCAGAGGATCTGCCAATCTCTGGGCATGGGGCTTTAGCTAGACGGCTGAGCAATCAGTGTGCTTTCCTCTCATGGGAGAGACGAGAGGAGGGGGACAGTAAGGAGGCAGAAGACCAAGGTGCGTCCCTAAGGTCTCTGCTAGGCATCCTGAAGACACAAGGTGCCAGCAACACAGATACTTGGGTGTTTTCAGATCTCAAGAGGGCAAGGCTGGAAGGAAGGGGTGCTGAGAGATAACAGAGAGGCAGGAAGAACCTACGAGGAGCCAGAGCTAGAGACTGTTTATCATAAGGAAAAGACCCACTCAGGTTCCTAGTCCCTAAGAGCAGAGCCGTGGCCTACCATCTCTGAACAGCCGATGGTGTGGAATCTGCAGAGAACCCGGCACTTGTTGCATGCTCTAACATGGTCCTGAAACTGGAACGTAAGGATGAAATTATTAAAGGTTGCCACAGACAGACAGACAGACAGACAGACAGACACACAGACAAACACGAAACTCATTATTTGGGGTAACTAAATCTATGTCATTGGGCCATGGTCATTCATACTCAATTCAAAAGTAAACTGTCTTATTTCTTTGTGGTGAGAGGTGTATTTCTCTTATCAAGAGGGAAGCCCAGCTCAAGGGGAGAAAGCTTTGAAGTCCTGAATTCCAACCCCACACTACACCCCCCGAAAAAGCAACTTGCCCAACAGTTAACAATATAAACCATGATTATCGGTGTATGGCTTTAATACCAGCAACTCCACAATTGGAGACAGGAGGATCAGAAGTTCAAGGTTATCCTTTGCTATACATTAAGTTCCAGGCCAGCCTGGGCTACATAAAATTCTGGTGGGGGTGTGGGGTGATGGGGGAATATCAGACATGGTGAAACATGTGGTTAAGGCAAATCTCCATGACTTTAAGACCAGCCTGGTCTACATAGCAGGTTCTAGGCACTCAGGGCTATTAGTAAGACTCCACCTCAAAACAAATGAATAACAACAAAAAAATTCAAATGAATATTGGAGGATAAGCCACCATGCCCAAGAACACACCCATCCTAGCAATAGCACATAAACTTCGCTTTGCTGCTTCTGATCATAAACCACCCACATGGAAGGAAATGCTTTACCTTCTCCCGAGAGATCTTCTTCTTGCCACAGCCATCACAGGTCAAGGGAAACTTGGGGCAGACCTCATAGTGTACCTTAAAGAGAAACAGGAGCATTAGTTGGGGAAGCCAACACCATGACAGGGCAGTACAGGAGGAGGGGAGACAGGAAGTACAGAAGGTAGCAGCCAGCACCTAGGAGGAGCCTGATGCGCTCATGGTCCCTCTGACTCTCTCTCTGAAAGCTGTTTAACTCCAAGTGAGAGCCTACAGGCACCCTCACGAATTCAGACTTACGAATTCCTTCCTCTGTAGCCTCCAGAAAACATGAAAGAGATAGGGAAGAGCGAACACCATCACCGTACAAACCATCGCGAACAAAGTGTCCATGTAGAGAGCAATGGCTGTGCAGGACTTTGTAACCACTAGGCCATCCCGTCCTCACACGGCCCCAATGGCACAGGCAAACTGCCTTGAGGACAGACCCTGGTAAGCCACTACAGAGTACCCACCATCCAGTGTCATACAAAAGAACAACATAGTGCCAACACCCAGGATGTGGACAGCAAATTCAGTAGGCAGCCGAGAAAGAGATGCTGATGTCCCCGGTTCCAACAAATGTGAGTGAAGGCTACCTTCACACAGTGGGCATGTGGGCAAGCCAGAAAAGGGACACAGTAAACCTTGTCACATTTTAAATGTGCTCTGGCTTTCAAGTATCCCCCAAAGATCTACATGTTGAAGCTTGGTCCCTAACACAGGACTGTGAGTGGGCATGTGATGCAATCTAAGAGGTGGGATCAAATGACAATTCCTTCGGCCACTGGGTGCATGCTCTCACAGGAGACAAGAGACCTCAATCCCGTCCTCTCTTTCACTCCAAAGACAAGACACCTTTTCTCTGTGGAAAGGGACCATCTCAGGCACTTGATCAAGTGATGGCATGCTACCACTGATAAAACAACCTGAACTCCATAGATGAAATGAGAACCTGTCTCACACTATCCAATCAGGTCTGCTCAGTAACAGTCTGGAGCAGTGACACAGCTGCTCAATCATAATGCTGTCTTCTCTGCCTTCTGTCCTTCAACTTTTCTAAAATAAGACCTATTTTTCTTGTTGTTTGGACATGACAGGGTCTTACCATACAGTCCAGGCTGACCTCAACCTCCTGAGGACTGTGATTATAGCCAAGTCACCACACTCAGGTCTAAATATCTGAAAATTCTTTTAGCACTATATGGTCACACAAGCCATTAATCCCAGTATTTTAGAGGCAGAACCACAAGGATCTCTGTAAGTTTGAGGCCAGCCTGGTCTACATAGCAAGTTCCAGTTCAGGGAAGGCTACAGGTGAGAACCTGTCTCAAAATATACATGTATATAGTTCTAGATTTATTTATCTTGAATGTATGAGTGTTTTACCTGGTAAACCGTGTGTTTGCCTGGTGCACACAGAAGAGAGAACAGGGTACTGGATCTCCTGGAACTGGTGCTAGGGACTGCTGTGAGCTACTTTGTGGGTGCTGTGACCTGAACTCAGGTCCTCTGAAAGAGCAACTACTAACCATTTGTACATTCCCTTTAAAAAATCGTTTCCTGAATTTTTTGTATTTTATAAACCACTTTTTAAAGTAAGTCAGTACTAATTACCTACTAAAACCCAGTTCCACCAAGAACCTTCTAACCTCCATGGTACCACGGAGGCAAATATGAAGAAGTTAAGCAAACTCCAACCATGGCAGCAAACGCTTAGCTAAATACCCATGCTGTAGACACTGCCTCCTAGGCCGTCCCGCCCAGCGCACCTCCAGGTCCGCATGGCTACAGGGTGCCCTGCAGTGCTGGCAGCTCAGGCTCCTTTTGGGGCACTCCTGTTCAGTGTGGTGCTTCTTCTCGCTGAGGCGGACCAGGCCTTTACATGCAGGACACTCAGTCAGCAGGAATGGGCACAACCCTTCATGGCAGCTCTGGCAAAAGAAGAAAGTATATGAAGACAGCACACAGGCCTGCAGGTAGCCACCGCACATGCAAGT